GGCTTTCAAATAAGTCATGGTTGTACGGCAGTGAAGCATCGGTGTTGAACACTGATGTCATGCTGTCGATGATGATGATGATGATGATGATGATGATGATGATGATGATGAGACTAGTGATTCATACAGTTACAAGTTAAATCAAGTAAAATTGCGATTTCCCGAGAGAAAAGAAAGTGCAGATATGATGGATATTGTTTTGATGATGAACAGTGGTTACTTAGAACGTCTACTTGGTCAGCTTCACAGTAGAATGAGGCCAAATGTAGTAACTGACACCGCCGACCATTAAGGAATTTCTTATAATGGGTTGCAGTAAAAACAATAGTACTAAAATGTTTTGGTAGAGATACATAGCTTTACCTGACTGTGCGATCGGAACTAATAATTGCACCACAAGTAACGGGGTAGATGGTTCGATAGCCACATAATCGACCACTCACAACCAAGTGTTTTACGAAACTAATCGATCTGTGTACCGCAGCTCTGATGTTCCACTGATGAACCAGCCAAGCCTGCAGAAAATATGCACTCCTTGGCAAACAAAGTTTCACATAAGATGGCAGAATTCCGTTGACGTTAAAAGATGCCTGGGAAACAAAATAAAACTATGCACAAGCAAGGTACACAAGTCGACTAAGGTGGTAGGCACACTGAGTTACACAAAAGCAAGTACCGAGGTCTGTCTAGTTCACCAAAAGACGTTTCTCTCCCACTAAATTCTATGAAGGAGAATAGCTCACGTGTTGTTTGTCGTTTCTTTCCTCGGCCGATCCCTGAAAACCGTTATTTGAAGTAAACACACCCACAGTGGTTGGTATGTCGCGATACTTCCAAATTATAAAAAGGAGTGGAAGACTCCACTAATCGATCTGACATGTAAGCGGTGAGCTCGAATGAAAAATTAATGGGAAGTTAGTGTGCGCTGATTAAGTCGACTTTGATCATAGTCATGTTGCAAATAGTGAAATACAGCTACATACAATTTGTCTGAGTAGCTCATTTTGACATACTGTTAAAACGTATCCCGCTGAAATGATCATCCTAACTAGTATTTCCCCTTACATAAAACAACTCAGATGCTAAACGGTAATTTACTCTGCATTATGAGAGCTTGATAAGAGAATTCATGCCATTGCAGAGATTTAGCTTAAGTGGACCAGTGTATTCTCCCAATCAAACCTTGTGATTTATTTCACGTTGTTTTGCGATGTCTCATTATTGCGCGTAGTCCAGTTGATCGACTCATTTAAAAGCCTCGAATTTCTGACGGGTGCATAACCTTACTTGAATAAAAAATCAGGCTTCGTATAGTAATATAGTGGGCTTTTGCATGCTAACTTTTTCTTTCTTTGGGCACTCACGGGAAAAGAAATTTTTGATAATCAGGCTGGATACATGCACTTAGAAGTGTGATCAGTCAGAATCGGTCATAACTGTAAGCATAGTTGAATTATTCCTTATTCAATGCATGATTACGCAGTGGTTCCAAACACAGATTAACCCACCTCAACCCAAGAAAACTCATCCATAACAGCAGGACTGCCTGAAAGTTTAGATTAACGTTAAAAAGTGTCGAATCAGCTTAACTCAGTTGATCTTATGATTTTTCACAGTCACTAATTTGGGAAGAAATTCAAATTGAACAAGCATCCGTTTCTAATAAGCAATTTCTTGTTCAGCTGAAACGCTAATTTGTCTGAATTGAAAGTGCAACCAATGAACTGCGCCCAGGGATGCTATTTTTGGCACTGAGGTATGTAGTTTATTCTTTAGTCGAAGGTTTGCTGCCAGTTTTTTCTGTAAACGACGGAGACATAAAACAAATGGGAATATTCAGTCCCATGACAGATGGATTCTTATACTTTGAATGAAATTTTTGGCCAGTCAGTATTGGAGAAAATTAGACAAATGGTTTACCTTTGTTCACCAGCAACCCAGTCGTATTTTCAAACATCTTATCGCTAAACAAGAGATCATTAGCAAATTCCGTTTATATACTTCGCTATAGATGACAAAACACCATGGCTGACAGAATAAAAAATAACGCTCACATCTGTTCCTAGAATGTGCTGAAATTTGGATCGATAATGTATCCACGGGCTCAAGGCAAATACAGCGCAGATGTTTACAGGTTTGTCCACTTGGTATGCTTTTATTCAGTGGTATGCAACCCACTCAAAATGTGGCTGACCGTTAGAGGTTTCAAGCAGGCGACCGACTGGACCTGAGATAGTATGGCATCCTTATACTCTGCAAATAACTTACAATCCATGGAACAAACCATCCCGCCTGACTTGAGGGTGACAAGAGGTAGGCAGAAAGCACTAAACAAATATCTATGCAACATTATATTTCATTTAGGATAACTCAATCAGTTTCTTTTTTGATGTCACATCACTCGTCCTATGAAAATACTTAGGTAGATTAAATACGTATTTCCAGACCAAATATCGTCCACTTTTGTAAAAACACTAACTATGGCGAATCAGGGGAATGCATTTTCTGAAAGTTCTTATTTCCTTAACACCGTACTGAGAGAACATGCTTCAAAGGCTAGACTTAGAGCGTGCGACCTCTGCGTGGAACTTTTGTACCTCCGAGCACCATTCTTTCCATGAATGACCGGATTCGCTCTAAGGCATCATGTGTATCATGTGTCTGTTAAAATTATAGACAAAAACTGCAGCAGTATAATTTTCGAGTAAGCAATAGTTCTCAGTATGGGAAAACAATGGAGGATTGGGCAAACTGCGATCCACAATTAAGTGCAGTAGCATGCGGGAAACTGGCTTGAAAGTCATCCATTTATTGTGGTCCATTAGACAGCTCCCCTTAGCACTGTTTCGCTCTACACAACCCAAAATCCAAAGGCTTTACTCGAAACAGCAATCGAAGAAGCCAACTGAATTTGCTCGGCCACGCCACTGCATTGAGGACGAAGGTAGAGTTAAAACAGTTACGATCACAAACTGCTAGCCCCAGTTTCAGAATCCGGTGTGAACCTGCCCTCATCTTTTGCCGACGGTTGCTAGGTCCTTGGACGCCGACCATACAGTGGTACGGCCAGGTTATTGCCAAATTTCGTAAAGGTCAGTGCTGAATAGTTAAGCTAGTTGCTGTGACGACAGCAAGCTACAATTCGACGTTACATGGTGTCGTTTTGGTGTTAGCCCACGCCATTTTTGCTTATCTGCATGTAACATCCCCGGGACGCATGAAACACACAAGGGTCCAGACGTCCTCTGCTAATCTTGCGTAGGTCAACTTTCAAGAGATTCCATCTACTAGCTGTGCAAAACGTAAAACGTGTACACTGCGCAAATCAGTACTTTATGGTGGAATTTATCCCGTTTAAAAAAATAATACCCGAAAGACTTGCACAGGTCTTTGTTTGATATGTATATAATTTCCTGTTTGCTCGAGATTTTTTAAGACTTTTCTTACCGACTTTGAACAAACGTGCACCATCAATGCAAATTCTATCCGTATATCCGTTTGCTGAATACTGACTTCGGAATATACCCAGACCGAACTTTGTACGGTGTACAAGACAGTAAAAAGCGTGTAAATTGGATCACGAACTATTTCATCATCCTACGGACCAGTCGTATTGTCGGCTCTGAATATAAAAACATCTTAGCCTCTTCATGAAAAGTTTTGCATCGCAAAACAAGTACTTCATTTTCCGGGGGATTGTTGAAAAATCGATCTTACCGCACTGTAAAACACCTCACAAAAGGGGCAAGTAAAAAAGCTTCCAAAAGGGCCGCCGTCTTTTCCTATTTAAAATCTGTCTGAACTAGCACCGGTGTGTAAGGCCTCAGACTGCGTTGCGACCAGCCATAATCTCAATAGGAACCGCGTTTTTATAAAAATAAATAGGATTTTAGCACAAAAAGTATAGACTGAAAACATTCTTGTGTTAAAGATAATGAGCAATGTAATGTTCCAAGACTTAAAACCGCTGTTTGCAGGCACCATAAATCAAAAGATAGCGGAATGTATGTACACTTTCAAGTATTTCGGTCTTTGGAAATGTCCAGGTGCAAATGTGAATTTGGGAGAATACAGTAAAAGGTTTACATTATATGACTTATGTACCTGTAAAAGGCTTTGCTATTCAATCGGAAGTTTAATGAGCTGGTACTATTTTCTATTTTCCAAAAGTAAAGAGATTGACGGAAATATGGCCATTCTTTCTTTCAGGTATCTTTGATGAAGTCATCTGAGCAGTAGACCGGCTTCAGGGTCTTCACGGGGGTACACAACGGTCAACTGTTTATAGTTTACGAAAGGAACTGTACCTACGTAAGTAGATCTTTCTTCTTTCTAGTTGATTTATTAAACTGTGCTTAGTCTGTTATCACTAAGTTTCACGGAGAATTGGTTCACGCAGTCAACTTGATCAGTCATTGATCTGTCTGTCCTAAAACCAAGCATTACTAAGATATCTAGGTTATTTTTGCATTCGGAGGCTTGATGAGAGCTTTCGAGGTCTGATGGTTCAAAATTCTGCGTTACGAGGTAATTTTACAGCGAGTGCAACGAATATTTCCGTCAACGAATGTGTTCAGAAGCAGTGTTTGTTAGACCAGTATTCGCATATCTAACCATTGTTTACCGGAGAGTATTGCCTCCCGTGCCCGATTTCGAGTGGCGCAAGCAAACGGGTGGCCAAACCTTGAACTGGAAGGGGAATATGAAAGAGGTTACGAGATGTCTGGATGCTGTTAGTGCGAGCCGCCTTCCAGAATATGGAACGCGTCATCCCCACTGTGAATGTTTGGAGAATTTGTAAGATATGGCTGCTGACCGACGTTATCAATTTCTGTTCATATTGCCTGAATAAAAATCTGCAGATGCAAATACCTCGGAATGGATGTAATGCACTAGACCTGGGTTGCTTTCTCATTCACTTTCCTTCTTTTTTCATAATGAGGCTTTCAAATAAATTATGGATTCATGGAAACTAAGCATCAGTTTTGAACACCGATTTTATTCTACTGTTGATGATAATGGCGATGGGATTGATAATGCTGACGATGCTCATTAGTAATCGTTATACCAATAAAGCGGGTATTCGGTGATGGCAATTAAATGGAAGTGGCTTAAAGTGCTGACGATTCATTATTTTTCGGCCTACAGTCAGCTGATTGGATTAGTCCGCTCCATACGATGTACGGACTCTACTTGGAGACCTCTGTGAATGTGGAGTCGTTAGATTTTGCCAGGCCGTAACCAAGGAATATTCGCCAATACTAAACGATCGACCTTGCTAGGTATCATGAAACTTCGGAGGAATAATGCACTTCCTTCGCCAGTGCGCTAAATGAAACTCAAATTCTGGCCCCTGTAGATGACACATAAAACGTCCTAGGATTTGACTGTTTTTGATGATACAGCAAACTTTACACTGACAAGCAGTAGCACCCTCAAATCAGTGTGACACAAGTGTAGGGCATCCTTTGTCTATACCAAGTGATCTCAGTTTAACCCCTGAGGTACAAAGATATCTTATTTCTCACAGTATTTTCACCCAAGAACATGGATGGGTCTTTCGTCTGGTTTACCGGTCGTATGAGCCTCCTACGAGGGAGTGAATTTGCAGTATATTAGTGTCCTCGGCATTGACCAGGAACACTACACCAACCACTGTTGGGCTTACGATTCCTGGTAAAAATCAAGATTTGCTTATTACACACGAACCATGGGGCTGCACTTTTGGACGAAAGAGTTATCTGTAGGGCTCGTTAAGTGGTGTCAGAATTACGCACTCAGCAGAGTCAGACTTACTTTTGAACATCGTTGTTTACCAAAGCCAAATGGGAAATCACTTGCTGTGCAGACCAATGGTTGCGTTTCCCAATTTCCGGAGGAACATTTACCCCTACCACGAAATTATTTTGGAGTGAAAATTTGTCCAAGGTTCTAGTTGTAATGTTCGCAGGGCCGGGACAAAATGATCCTTCGGTAGGGAGGCACTTATTCTGGGTGGATAAAAAAAGTAGTCTGACTACACATTGAATGTACCGAAGTTGTAAGATATTTCCTCTTAGTTTCTATTTCTCCAAAGTAAAGCGGTGACAAAGGTGATACTTTTCGGACAAACCATGCAAAGACACAATGGATACACTATAACGTGCTCCATACTACAGGTTCTTGAAGACTTATGAAGTACCCTGCTGCAAAAACCAATTATTTTGAGTGATTGGCTACGTTCTGGTTGGAAATCCATTTTACGATAGTAAGTAGTGTTTTGCTTCTTGTTAAGACGTAAAATGAAAATAATACATGCCTTCATTGTGGATATTTTGTCATGCACTAAGATATTGCTACTACATAGGCTATCGGTGGAGTCTTTACACAGACTGGCCAGGAAGACGTTATCAATGCGGAAAGAATATTTCATGACAGGGGGATTGTGTGGGTTTCACGATCACAAAAAGGAGATACAAACGGCTTGGGCATTAAGCTAGAGATGAAGCCTATAAGTAACCAGCGTGCGTTTCTAGGAGGATGAGAAGATTTTCAGACTTTTAATGGCAATTTTTAAACTCAAATCTACATATCTGTGGGTATGCTTTGGTCTTAAGGTCAGCAGCCACCAGTGGTGAAATCACAGCCATAAAACGGAACGATTTTGCTACTTGGTTAGCCTGTGCGTCGAGTTTGTTACCAGTCTGGTTACAATGGAGTAGGCACATAGTTGTTTTTGACTTTTTAAGCATGGGTGAGGGTGAAGACTCCATACAGTTGATTTTGACTGCAAGATAGGCATCAACCGATGGAATTCTGACGTATCTTGAAGTACAATCGAGATGTTATTTAGAGTTGTCAACTGCTACTTTATGATGGCTGTTTCTACTTAGTTTGTTCTGTAGCTATTGTTGACCGTGGCTCAAGTATCATGTTTTTCCTTGATTCCGGCTGATTACACAGATATACGAGAAGAAAATGGTTTCGAAATGATTTTCGCTTTACAGAGAAACTTGGATAGATTCTTCAGCGATCGAAAGAAAAGACGCGACTTACATCTTTGTTGCCAAACAATTCTAGAATAAAGAAACACATCTGATACACGTTTTAGGGGATGGGTAGTTTATGTGAATAGTTTTGATGGTTAGGAAAATTCAAGCTTTGTCTGAGAATTGGATTCTGCAATATTTTTTGAAGCCCCAAATGCTTCATGAAAAAATACAATGGCACTGGATTTCGGCCGGTTTGCAAGTAACCAGAAAAAATATTGCCCACACGTAGGTTGGGACTTCCTAAACATAGTAGTTTGTTGGTCTGTTCGTCATCAGCTAGGGGCAGTTGGTTTACAATGAGGCACTGTACTGTCTAGGCAGAGGATTGTGCAGAAATCTATCAGGTGGTTCAAGCCAAAACGGATACAACAGCTGGCGCATTCTTCATTTCACAATGCAGGTTTAGTGACTGTTGTGGCATTAGGGATGACACTAACTGACTAGTCAACATAGCTCGGATCGCGGGAGGAAAATACCACTTGTGAACAATCCATCTGCTGAGAAAAAGAATATCTGTGTTGTGGAGAAGTGTGTCAGTAGATGGTGCAATGGATAAACCCCGAGGAACTCGATGCAACGTGAACTCTACGACTGTCATGTGGCTTGCCGGACGCGGTCAACGGATTTGCTAACAAACATTTGTTAAGTGATAAGAAGATATCAAGTTTTATCTCACAAGGCGTGTAAACATGTGACTTTCGAGGATGTTATAACCTCATCTTTTAACAACAGGTTGACGTGATCAGTGGGAAAGGGCTCCCCCATTGTGCTTAAAAGTGGCCTTTTCATCTACATGAGTCGACTTTATGAAGTTCCTTAGTCGCAATCGACGGCTTGGGGGGTTTTCCTACGCAGACTATCACGCTCATGTGTTAGTAGACAAATTTCAGCAGGGACTTGCATTAAGAGTTTTCCTCACCAGCTGGTCGCCTGACTTACAAAAACAACAAACAAACCATTTCAGGGATTTTGCTGGACCCCACATCTAGCTGTAAAATAGTAAAACAGCTCTGTCGGACCCCACCGGTTCACCTGGTTTTAAAAATAATCCTCGAGCACAAACCGATGTCTTCACGGCTGTGGTGGATTTCCTAATGCTGTTCCTACATTCATCCATGTTAGTAGAACTAAACTGTGATAGTCAAGAAAAGTTACTTCAGTCATCCAAAGTTGCCTAATCAGTCCCGACGCACATGCTCTTATAGTTTGACTGAGACCTTATTGTTCCGCACACAGCGATTCTATCAGCACTTGGTGATTTTCAGCACCGTTCTAGGATGGTACAGTACAGGTGACTTCCAAACATTCATCGGTACTGTAACGTGAATCTACCTGCTGAACGATTAAGTGATTGGCTGTAATGGTTTCTCTAGCCGAGGATTTTGCGGTCGACATTCATGAGGATGTTGCTCATTGTCTTGCACAGGATGTATTTGGAGGATGGTGTTCACAGGACATACTGATAACTGAAAAGAGGAAGTTCTTGAAATCACCCACAACCGCAGTTATCTCACTGTTGTCATCCATTCGTGCTCGGTAGATACTGTGATCTACAAGACGAGTTCTGTGATCGGCTGTTAATATTTCTGATGGCGCGTGACTGCATCAATCTAAAGGTCAGCGGTATGCATCCTAGGTTCAATCGATTTAGGGTCAGTAAGTACAAGTTTTATACTTGTTAATTATGAAATTTCGCGGATTTTGACTACATCATTTATTTGCATGGTATCCAGACTCCTGAGAGGACGGTGCTTTTAGCGGATCTTAGCTGGAACTAGTTGGTACTCTGAGCCTACCCTGTTTTCAGCCTTGCGTTCTCTACATGAAGTGCTATCCTCCATAGAAAGGCTCATCTCAGACGAAAGGGGAATATCATTGATTGGGCTGGCTAGTAATCTACCACCATATAACATGGAGCTGGATTGGATGCTTGAAGGACAGAGTGCACATCTGTTGGAGATTCACCAAGTTTATCCATCGTAAATGCCTCTCGCTAAGTTCATCGAGGAGAAATATTTAAGAATATGGCATACAGGCTCTTCCGACGAATCTGCACAAACAATACGTGC